TATTTACTTTATACTATGGTCTCATAGTATTTCTTTACATCGTTCTTATGCACGGTGAMCTGCTGTCTACCTCGCGCTATTACCACGTTTTCACTATCTAGTACTTCTAGAATTTCATATGGTCCTTTCCATAACGCGCTTAATTTATTCTTTTGRGTTTTATCTTTAAGTAATATTAGATCTTTTATCCTTAAGTCCTCACTGTGAACCTTTTTATCATAATGATTTTTAGATTTTACACATACCTAACCTAACCTAACCTTTTTTTTTTTTTTTAACGGTGTATCGTGGGGGGCCGGAAATACCCGGTGAGGCAGTTCGCCAGCTCCCCCACATCGTTTATTGGTAACAAAACACAAATATTTACAATGGAATATTACAATATTACAATGTTGCGCACTACTACAAAAAATATGATGGCCCTAGGCCATCGGAAAAACTGGCCTTCGGCCCACAATACGACAGATCTTAACTAGGGTTGAAAATTATCTGGTCTGCGTTGACGTTCTCTTTCTTCGTCTTCCCTGGTCTTCAGCACATTGCCCACGAAGACGTTGACTGCAGAGAAGTTATTTGAAGACTTGAGCATCACTTCGATTGCAGTCTCCGGTTTGAATTCCGCATCTATCTTCGCTTCCAGTTCGCTCCTCTGTCTCCACCACCTGTCGCAGATGAAAAATGCGTGTTCGGCATCGTCACGGGGTGCTGAGCAGTCTATGCACGCAGGTGACTCCAGCTTTCGAATTCGGTTCAGATAGTAACCAAAGCAGCCGTGGCCGGATAAGAACTGGGGGAGGTGGAAGTTGGTCCTACCGAGGTTTCTTGTGTACCACAGGTTTACATCTGGGATTAGCTTCCTAGTCCAACATCCAGATGCCTCCCATCTCTCTTGWCAGTTATTAACTACCTCAAATGCTGGTGGAGCGCCTGCCCCGASTCTGCGTCTAAGGAATTCCGCCTCACGCTGTCTGGCCAGCAAGTCCGCTGGGGGAGTTGCCGCTATCACACTTGTTGCTGCCTCGGATACTGTGCGATAGGCACAGGTTCTGCGGAGTAGGACCTTCCTTTGGACCTTGTTGATCGTCTTGACATTGGYGGGAACGAGGTCCAATGTGTKGGCCCAGGCCGGTGCGCCATAGAGCAACACGGAGTGGACGACTGTACACAGTAGGCGCCGCSGGTCCTCCCGCGGACCACCGACATTGGGCATGAGCCTTGCGAGTTGTGACCCAACTTTTTCAGCCTTGGCTGCAGCTTTACATACATGCTTCTTGAAGAGTAGTGATTTGTCTATGGTCACTCCCAGGTATGTCATCTCYGATGATATCGGAATGTTTTCACCACACAGCATAAGTACCGGCCACTCGTATTTATACCTGTGGGTAAACATGACGGCCTCTGTTTTGTTGGTGGCGATCTCTAGGCCAAGGCAGTTGTTCCACTTCCTGCAGAGCGTTGTTGGCCCTGTACTCCAGGTCCCTCACGGTGTCAGCTGTCACCAATACTAGGGTGTCGTCAGCAAAACCCATCAGTTTTGACCCGTGGCTTAATGGTTCCTTGAGAACCCGGTCAAACGTGGCGTTCCATAGCAGCGGTCCAACCACCGAGCCTTGGGGGACTCCTCCCATGATTTCGAAGTCGTGTCCACTATTACAGGGACCTTGATCCGTGGTTTCATGTCTGTTTGAGAAGTAGGAATGGAACATTCTGGCTAGGTACGGAGGGGTGTTCCACGTTTCCAGCGCAGTTAGGATGTCGTTCCATTTGATTGAATTGAACGCATTTCGAATGTCAATTCCAATCGCCAGGCAAAATTTACCGCCGTTGACCTTCTGCACTATGGTTTGGTGTACTTGGCGGATGGCGTCATCAGTCGACAACCCCTTTCTGAAGCCAAACTGGTTTGGGGATAGGCCACCATTTCTGGAAATGGACTCCTCTAACCTGCGAGTGAGGAGGGCTTCCAGAAGCTTCCCCGCGTCGTTGAGTAGGCACAGTGGTCTGTAAGACGATGGTATGCCTTCCGGTTTGTCCCCTTTCCTGAGCAGTATTACCCGGAAGGACTTCCATTCGGATGGGAAGGTCCCGCACTTAAGGCAGGTGTTGAACAGCTCAATAAGAGTCCGATGGTCGGCCTTGTGTACGGCCGCCAGGATGCGACTGGTGATACCATCCGGACCTGGGGCTTTGTACTTTCTCTTGGCTCTGTCGACTACTGCATCCACTTCCTCTCTGGTKAACTCRGCGATTTGCTCAGCAGGTGTAGTGGGGCAAGCGGGTCTTCGCTCGTGTGTCGGGAAGAGCGTACTGATGASGGTCTCCAGAGTCTGGCGCTCCATAATTGCGGTAGCCGGAGGTCCCCTCAGTTTACGCATCACTATTTTGTATGGTTTTCCAAATGGGTCATTGTCTACGGAGGCTATGAGCTCGCTCCAGCAGGCTTTTTTGCTGCGTGAGATCACATGCTTTAGCTGCTTGTTGGCTGCCGTGAACGCGTCATTGGTTCTCTTCAGCTCATCGTTAGCTCGGGCCTCGTCGAAATCCCCCACGGCCCGCTCCCGCAGGCGTGATATACGGGATACCATTCTGACCTTGTTTCTTTTGGTTCCGCACGCAGGGTGCCGATTTCCGGATTCCACCAGTGAACTGGCCGCTTCCCTGGTTTCGCGATCCGCCGTTTGGGCAGTGCGAAGTCACACGCTGTTGCGATTCTCGAACGGAGAGTCCTAGCTTCAGCCTCGGCGTCTTGGGCATCCCGTTGATGGCCTCCGTCCAGCCATTTAGCGATTAACAGCCCCGTGCGGAGGGCTTCGACGTCGATCCCGCCGGACGTGATCCAACCTTGGGAGTCTCCGGCAGCTGGTTGTGGTTGGTTTGTCGTGCTATCGGTGAGATGGAAGCTGATATAGTGGTGGTCACTATTGTTGAATTCGGAATCCATGACCCTCCATCCGCTAAGTCGTCCTGATAGTGGCTCCGATGCCAGTGTAAGGTCAATAACTGATCCAGCCCCGCTTGTGAATGTGGAGGTAGAGCCGGAGTTCATGATGAGGAGATCCAATGACTCGATCAACATTCCTAGTTCTTCGCCTCTCGCGTTGCTGACCCAGTCTCCCCAGGCTGGGGACCTGGCGTTAAAGTCTCCGGTGACTAGAACGGGCATACCTTGTGGGATGGTCCTGATATTGTCTTCCAGGCGCTGGAGGAAGTCGGTGAAGCCCACAAGAGGCTGGTTCGGGGACGCGTAGCAGCTAAACACCTGTACGCCATTTATGCGTGCTGAGACGAATTCTGGATCCTTCAATACGTTGGCTATAGTCACTCGGTCGCTCATGGTGAATATGGCTGTTCTCTGTTGTCCATAGTTGGAGTACCAGCTAGCTGTGGGTTCGATCCTGTGTGGGTCGATCAGGAGAGCGATGTCCACTTTTTCCTCGACCATATACTGATAGAGGAGGTCCTGAGCCACTCTGCAGTGGTTCAGGTTGACTTGGATGAAGCTAATCATCTGTGTGGTTCGTCGTCCCCGCTTCTGCCGGTTCCTCCGGCACCCCATTACCTTGGGTAGAAGTGGTTGACTGCATTCGTAGCCGTCGTGGAGCCTGCTGCTTGGGTTGCTTGGGTTGAATGCTGGAAAGGTGGTCCTCCCCCTGGCACCTGTGGCAGCGACGGGGCTATGACTCGTTCCGGCACTCAGCAGCCAGGTGTCCTTTCCCTTGGCAGCGGAAGCAGGTTGGTTGGTTGTTAGCCAACAGCTTGACCCTGCACCTGGTCCACTCCACGGTGACCGCTTTCTTCTCCGCCAGCGTGATGGCGTCCTTGAGAGGCAAGTGGAGGCTCGCGACGAACTCCCCTCTGCCACCGGAGTTCTTGCGGATGGTCACGTTCTCAGAGGTGACTCCAGTGACTCCCGCATGTGTGACGCCCTTAACGACTTTCTCTGCCTCTGCCCATTCCGGAATTCCCAGCAATAGAACGGGCGTACGCGGCTCGGGTAACCTGACCCTGGCCTCATCTCCTACGACCTCCCGGATCTTCCCGGCTAGTAGCTTGGCTTTTTCACTCCCCYCGACCTCGAGGAGAATTCCTCCCGCCCTGGTCTTTCTTGTCGTCAGGACCTTGACGCCAAGGGACTGAAGGTTGATCAAGCTCGATACCTTCTTCATCACGGAGGCTAGGGAGCTTCCTTCGGCCGGGCGGTCGATGGTGACCGCCATGGATCGTGGAGCCCGTTTCCGCAGGAGAGCCAATTGGTCGGTGGCCGAGCGTGGTTGTTGGGCCGGCTTCGGTGGCCTCTTCTTTCTAACGACCTCGCTCCAGGTCTGCTGCTGCTGGGGATCCTGCTGCGGTTCCTGCTGTTGCCAAGGCTGCTTCAGTTGTCGCTGCTCGTGCTGCACCTCCGGCTGCAAGGGTTGCTGGCGTTTCTTCTGCTGCTGCTGTTGTTGTGGCTTCTGTTGCTGTGGCTTCTGTTGCTGTTGCTGCCGTTTTTGTTTCTGCCGCTGTTGCTGTTTCCCCTGTTGCTGCTCTTTTTCGGGAACTGCAAGCGGGGGAGCAGTGTTAGTGGCAGCGTCCTTGACCTCTCGSCCGACGAGTGCCCCGGGGGCCATCGTGTTGGTGGCCGTATCCTTGCCCTCTCGCTTGGCAGGTGTGCTCGAGTCGCTAATCGTTACCAGCGCCTTCACGCACCGCAGCGAATGGTTTAATGCCGAGGTTACTTCAGTTCGACATTTCTGGATACCCTTCACCACCTCCAGAATGTCCCTGATCGCCGAGCTGACCGTGGGGCTTTGGCTCTTCTTAGACACAAGCTCCAGGTGGGACGCCTTTTCAAACAGGAGGTCCAGACCACCCTGTTGTGTGCAAAGCTTGGACCCAAGCTGTTTAGTCGCAGCTCTTAGTGCCTCCGCTGCTGTTTCATTTCCAGTCACCGATGTGGCCTCCGCAGTAGCCGAAGCGACTTTCCGGTCGACGGCACCTGCACCTACAGTCGTGTTAGCAACCCCATGGTTGACAGTGGATGCCTGTCTGCTCACGTCGCTGTCAGCACTTGTTTCAGCTCTAGTACTTGTTAGAGTAGCGGGGGCCTGGCTGGCCACCCCCGCACCCTCACGGTCGCTAGATGACGACCGTAGTGGGCCCGCTACGTTGGATCTGGGTATTATGCCAGATCCACCCACTACTGCCGACCCCTGGGGTTCCGAGGCCCCTGAGGTGGTAACATTATTCCTGTTTGTACCGTTCATATTGGGTTTTTAGAGTGATTTCCTTCACTTGCATTTTACCTACTGCCAGGGGATTTTAAGTCAGTGTTACCTTCACCTATGTCCGTTTGCAGGCGCTTGCAGGTGGACCAGATCTGCCCAACCAGTTAAGGTCAGGCTCTGTGTTTTGATCTAATTTAGACAGGGATCGCTTAGTAAGACTCAATTAAGAGCCCGCAAGCCTCCCC